TGAAATTATTTTCTTCGCCAATGGAATGAAACGCCATTGAATCTAAAAAAGTATATATAATCACAAAGGTCATCTCTATGATCAGACTCCACTCGATATCGATCGTCTTCATAAATATTGAAAAGTGTAAGATACTTGAAAAAGATCGATCATACTCGCGATTTCGATATCATAATGTCCTCTACCAATCTCCAAATATTTCAATCGCCATCCCCAAAACGTTTTCAATTCTGCCACCTCCCTTCCAATCTCACCTCCAAACACCCACCTCCAATCTGTCGAATCTTCAGACAAATTTTTATCTCCACACGTGATTTTAGAACATCCACGTCGCTGGATCTCGTACCGTTAAGAGCAGGCTTAGCCGCGATTTGAATATCAGAGCGTACACAAGGCGTTCAATAGGAAGAGAGAAAGAGATAAAGAGAAAGAGAGAGAGAGAGAGAGGCGCACCGTGTCGACGGGGGCACACCGTGTGCCCCGATATATACACATACGTGTGTGTATTCGTGAAGATCGATCGTGAAAGATCACCTCGTACGTTACCCCGGAACGTAGCCTCTTCTCGCGGTTTCGATCGTGCCCACGAACACCACAGAGTCCAGAAATAATATCTCGCGTTTGGCCATTTTCACGATTGAATCCACATCGAGAGACTTCGACGTTAGATGCAGAGATGCGTGAGCCAGTTTGAGAATATCGAAGCAACGATTTTCCAACGGCGATAAACTTGACGCACTAGGCGTTCCTAGTTACTGTCTCTCTTGCTTGCATTCCGTTTGGTGGGTGTGAATCTGTGGCACGTAAGTGCGACGCCTTCGATATTGCAATTGTGATTGTTGTAATTTTTTCAATAATTCAGACAATTGAGAGGAAGAAGTAAATACGAGAGACGATCGTGGTCACCTTTTTTGCATATGTGGATTATACAACATTAATTCGTTAGATTTAAGTATCATCGTTAGAATGAATCTTCTTTGTATCTTCTTCCAACAAAGGAACTTCAATTTCATCAATTTTTTAAAATTATAGAAATTATAGATAGATCTTCATTATTTTTCAGAATATTAGAGCACGATCAATGAAATTAACGATACACGCGTCACTCTATCAATTCAAAATTCTCTCGTATACCAACAATTTCTTTAATAATTTCCATAAAACCGTATCCACGATCTACACTTATCAAATCCATCGATCAACATCTTTTTTTTTCATCGACAAAGCATTCCGCGGTTCCGACAATATTTTCCGTTCCAACAGTTATTTTGACTCGTCCACGGTCCCCGCCAGTCCTCCAAGACATTATCGGTGACATTTGTCCGCGCCGGACAAAACATGTTCCGGTCCGGTAGGATGACCCTAACGCCGCGCCTTTTGTCGAGCGAAAGGTACCCAGCCGACCCGGCGTGTCTTTGTCATTATATAACGCCATTGTGGCCACACTTGCCCGGCGTGGAAGTCGACTATACCTTTGCATATTATTAAAATGACGATGATTGTCATTTTTCTCCCCCCTCGTCCCACCGCCTCTTCCACACCGTCGCGCACCGTCACACCTCCTCCACCTTCTCCTCTTCTCCACGTATTCTCCTCCACTTTGGTCTGCTCTCGTCCTTTCCCCGCGACCACCAACACGCGCCGTAGGAACGCACGTCTCGTTCTCTTCACGAAAATGAACACGAAAACACGTATCGAGACACGTGTATCGGGTATTATAGGAAACGTTTGATTTGACTTTTAACGAAAAATTCCTCTTGGAACGATGTTGCGATATTAGTATGGAATATTCTGGGAAAGAAGAAGTAGATCGATATTGTGTAAGAATAACTTTTTTTTTTTGAAGAAAATCTTAATTTTCTTTCAGAGACGAATTTTTCTTGCAATATTATAATCCCAGGCTGGAATTATTATAACTTTTTATTACGTTGTGGTGGTTATTAATTATGAAATATTTAAATTAGAATTAAAGAATGTAAAGTCATTTATTGAAATTGAAACTCGAAATCAAAACGACACTCACGAAAAGATAGAATTGAAAAGAATTAATGATGAAAAATCAATATTTCTCGAAATATCCCCCGATAGTTTATAAAATATCGAAATTCGACGATTTCGATCTCGCCTTGTCCCAGTTTATTCTCACTCTTCCCCTTCGTTTTCTCCTCCTACATCCCTGCTGCTGCATCTCCTCCTTTTCGCGCCGATCCTCCTCGTCTCCTCGAATGGTGCTTAACGTCTTCGTGTCTTTGTTTCTCCTGCTTTCGACGAGAGGAGAATCCGACTCGTGTGTTTTCGATCGCAATGGTAACGTCTTCCTACGTGCGCGCGTGTACCCGGCGCGGAAACGATAATCGTAACTTTCGACATCGATGATGCTCGAAAGGAGCCGGTCGAACCCGTGGTACGCTACCAGCAGGGACACGCGAATCGGCCGCCATTCAATCACCTCCATACGAATGCAAATCGATGAACTTGAAGAACATTTTATCCTGGTTGCTCGTTTATTTCGGCAGATTTTTTTTTAAGAATTTAGTTTAATTTGAAGTATCGTTGTTATTATTACTTTCTCTTGTTAAATTTCCCCTTTGTCAAAGAGGAAAGACAATAAGAAAATACGAATATTTATTTTATTATACGTCTATTGATTTTAATCTTTGAAAGGATTAAATAAAATTGTGATCAATTAATTTCATTCGAATCAATTAATTGTTATCCTTCCTTTAAATTGTTGCAATCGTACGTAAAATTTTTAAATCCTCGTACAAGATCAAGCTCTATCTCTCGAATTTTCGTTTCCATCTCAAGCCTCTTTTTACAAATCCAATCGAATATAAAAATATATATAATCGTTATACTCGAAGAATCTTACTTAATTTTCAATCAACACTCGAGTAAGCATGATTCGATCGTGCGACGAATGTATTCCATAAATCGAGAGACTTATAGACAATGGCGTATACGTTTCATTCTCTCTACCGTGCCAGCCGCGACACGATCCATCAACACGAATTCTTCTCCGTCCCGGGAACAAAAAGCTTGGACTGCAACAGCCGTCGCGGCTCGTCGATGGCTCGATCGGCCGGTTGAAGAGGATCGAGCCCAAGGAGGGGCCCCGATGACGCAACACCACGATTCTTTCGACCGTCCTCCGCCGTTTTCCTCGGTAAATTCGATACACCTGTGTGCCAATTGTTTTGACATGTGTCCCCATTGCGGCCTCTCCGCAGCCGGGACGAGCGGAGAGGAGCGGACACGCGCGTTCCGGCCATCTATTCGGCCTCTCGACGACATGCGGGTCGTACAGTCCAACATCGGAACAGGGGAAGAGGATAAAAAAGAGGACGGGAGGATGGAATCGGTGGCAAAAGAGGACAGAAAGAGGGAGAGAAGACGATTCAATTTTCTGATTAGACGAAGTAACGGTGCGCCTACCGAATTTCACTCCCCGCCATGCTCCTCTTCTAAATTGAGAATGAACGTCTTGTCTTTTTATTCGTTTCGTTTATCGATTCTTCTTTTCTTTAATTCTAGGAACTGTTATGTTCAGTAGAAATTGCACGCATCAAAATTTCCTAAGTGAATCATTTCCTTTTTCAAAAGAATTTTATATATATATATATATTGTTATTTGGCATTGAGACAATCAAGTATTCAACTATTGTTGCGCACAATTAATGTCTCATATAAATAATTTTAAAATCGTATAATATTCAATAATTGACAGGTAGAAGAGTCAATAAATAGTGGTATTAAAGGTCAGTCTACCGATGCTTTTCATGAATTAGCGATGCGCATTTATTATTATGAAATGTTCAATATATCTTTCGAAGTTATAAAGACGTGTCTCGTTGTTAGCGGAGAAGATGTAATTTGAAACCATAATTTATAATTAATTGGCCACGAACATTACTCGAATTCGAAGCTAATATCAAATTTCTTAAATTTTCCTCTTCTACTCCTATATATATCTATAACTTTATAATCGCTTTTAAACAACATTTCCTTTCGTTTTATTTTTCTTTTCTTTTTTCTTTATAAACACACAATATGTTATAAAGATTTATTACAAAAGTTCTACTAGTCTTAACATTTCCTATCTTTCAAATTACAATTAAAAAAGAAATTCTAATTGCGTTTATTTAATTTAATTCTTTTCTTTTCTTTTCTTTTCTTTTTTTTTTTGAGAATAAAACAGGACAAGATACGGGCGATTTTTCCACGTCTCGCGGCCACTCCAAACACAGGATGTAACGACTATGGCCGTGCGGAGAAAGTTATGGCTTTTCTATTGTTTCGCGCGGCTGCTACGACCTGCGGGATCGTCGTTTTTGAACGACGCAGAGAACGCAACCTCGATCTTCGAGATGCGGCTCGCACCAGCCGCAAGAATGTTACCTCCACAGATCCTTTTCTGACAATGTGCCCAACCTTTGTTTAACCAGAGAGGTCCGAGATCTCGTTAAAATTTCCGGGACCGATCGACCGATACAGGGTGTAAAACGTTTTGTGAAAACTGACTAACTAACGTCTAGAGAATGAAGATTTAATTTGATTCGGGTCGATTTCAATGACGAATTTTGGGGGTGTGGACTGTCGCTAAAGATAGAAAGGAGATACGACAAATACCTTCCAAACTTTCATCGCAACTTAAATTATTTAATTCCATCCTGGAAATTTGATATTCGAGCTTTAAATATTTGATATTTAGAATTAGAAATGATGCAAATTTTGAAACTTAAAAGAGGAGATTGAAAATTTGAAAAAAAAAAAAGAAAAATAAAACTATTTATAGTTTATATAAATTTCCTTTTTGCAAGATTTAAGCTTAAAATTTAGCTTAAAATGTACTTTTAAATTAATAACAATACAGATGTTAACACACATCTTAATTTATTATGAATGGAAACGCGAAGTACGAATTACGATTGTCAATTATTGAGCTGTTAATATCGGGTCTCTCGTTGGTAACGGGCATTCTAGGTCGTTCCTTTTTTTTTTTTGTTGCTGGGACTGTACAGGTGGTCAGTTGTCCCGGCCCGCATCGTGCAGGACAGGTGAGGGCCAATGAGATAAATTCGATCTTACCCTCATGACCAAAAGGGTACAATAAAACGTGTAATTATGCAAATATCTATTCGTATTCTGTCAAGAAGAAGGTCGTGCGTTATCAGGATGCATTGCACGAACTTGTTGATTTGTGCAAATGGTTCGATAAAATTGTGTATCAAATGATACGAACGTAGAAAGAAATATAATTTGTACGTTAATCGTACAATTTTAGGGAGATTGTGTATAAGAAGGAATTTTTAAATATGAATTTATTGTATTTTTCTTTTTTTCTTAATTTTCTGTATGTGAAATAATTTATTTTATGATATATTTTTTGCGTCTCTATTCGAGATTCTATATTCTTAACACGATATCCTTGAAATGTGAAATAAGTAAATAAATTTTCTAGCTGATCGAGAAAGTAAGAAAACGAATTATACGTATGGTAGATTTATGTATACACCTGGACGATCATTTCCCTTGAAATTCTCCATGAACTTGTAGCCTGACCACTAATAAAGACGAGCATCCCTCATAAATCAAACATATCACGTCCATATTTCCCTTTCAAAAGTCTAGAGCAAACGATAACAATATCAAAATCCCTATACCTAAACAAGCAATCTCTCTGAACGTAATCATTTACGAAACAATTCAACGTATTTCAACCAGAAAATAATTGTACATCTAAATCATTCTACCTGAAATTTCCGTGCTAAAAGAAATCCAAATCTTCAAATTTTCATTTCTCGTTTAAAAAAGATACCATCCCCCTTCCCTTTTAACAGATCAAAAGAATGTTTAATTTTTTTTTAGAAAAGCAGAATAAAAAGAAACAGCAACGAATATACAATTACCAAACGTAAAACCTAATTAATTGATCAAATCTCAAAAAACCAGACATCATAAATCTTTAATCAAATTAAAGCTTGCTTCCTACAATCTCGAAATCAGATGAAAATCAAAGATGGAAGGGGCAGGTAGAATAATATTCGCGTAAGGACGGATAAAGAGGACGTGAGTATCAGGAGGACGGCCAGGGTCGTAGGTGGAAAGAGACAGGGGGAGGGGGGAAAGAGGCCGGCCACGATCCTAATCTCCCCGGGCCAAGGCCTCGGCCGAAAATTCAATTAAACTTTTGATATACGGGCGGCTGTGTAAACGAAAATTTCGCAAGGTTCACGTACTTTCCTTGGCCTAGCCGTGTGCAACCACGATCGTACCGCCGATCGTTCGGTCCTGTTTAAAACGATTAGAAGACGAACCATTTTCTTCCACCACGTTCTCTCTCCTTTGTGTATGTGTGTGTGTGTGTGTGTGTGTGTGTGTGTGTGTACGTGTATAAGAGGAGGGTGAGCGCACATTTGGGAGAGAGGCTGGATTGATGCTAGACGACGTGTCGCCGGGAAATCTGGACATTTATCTCGGACGATTTGTCCGGACGCCCGGGGCGATTCTAACTGGCCGGATATCGAGACGTACCGATTGTTCCTTCCTTTTTTCTTAGCTATTTCCGAGCTTAACACGGGGGATTACAAAGATGCGCAAGTGATTTACGTGGAGATTGGTATAGATTTTTTTTTTAGGAAATTTTGAAGGATTCGAAGTAAGTTGGTTTTGAAGGAAATTGTGGATGAATCATTGCTTCCTGTTTTTTGTGCTTGTATCTCCCTTTTCCTGGAATTTTGTGGAATTAACATGGGGCACAATGGATGATGCGTAAGTGTGGAAATTGTGGGATCTATTTTTCTTTTTCTTTTTTTTTAAATTTCACGCGGAAAATCTTCAATCTCTGAATCGTGATTTGGATATTTCAATTTTTTAATTTTTAAATCAACTATCTAACTATCAAGCGTATAATAATACAAGAACATTGGAGGAACTAACTACATTATGGATCGATTGTTTGTGTAAAAATGGAATGGAAAGTCGGCCTTTATAGCTCTATGTCTGTCGATAGGAATAAATATTTCTTCTATGGGTTAACCCTTAACCTCGCGATGCATAGTGAAACGTATCTTGATAAGTGAACGCGTAATATTAATAAGAAAATTTTGATGAAATAATTATTAATGGAACGATTTTTAAAAAATCAATATTGATATTCCAAAAAAATCTGTACGAAACACAAAGATATTTGAATATCACGGATACAACTATTTTTTAAACGATCTAATATATGATTCACTGTCAGCTCTATATAACGAGGTACATAGTTGTACATAAGTTATTTGAAGGAATTTAACTATACGATGTATCCTTGGAAAATACCATCCAGTCACTGTAACTGCATTACATTGATCCAACATTCCACGAAGGTTTACACAAACAACACGAAATATCACTCTTACGTCACATCCTCCTTATCAATTCCCCGAATTTTAACAATTTCCAAAATCAAATCAACGAAACGCGAAGAAAGACGGTATAATTATACAGCGAGGAAAAATATCTGAAAATTTTCCAAAAATTTTGAAAATAGATTAAAATATTTCAAATTCTCTTTTAAATAAAATTAAAAATTGCTTTGCACCAATTTAAAAACGAGCCAACCCACATTTTCGAGAATTACACTTCGAAGAATGTGGAAGTTGAAAAATAGTTCAATTATAGATTTAAAACGTTAAGAAGGGGACATTTCAACTAAAAGGCCAACAAAAGCCTTTACAAAAATCCACGACAACCACAAATTCCCTTTTATTTTCATCCCAACCACCCCCACGATATAACAATTCGTCATGAAAATAACGAAGAACGCGAGCCAGCCCACTCGCCAGACGAAATTCCAGTTCAAAGATAGAATTGTCCAGATGCTGGTCCTCGTTTCGCCCGATCGGTCGAGAAATGCCACGGGCTAAACGCGACACGATTTATTCTTCTCTGCGGAGAGGCCTTCCTTTTGGCCATCCGCAATGCGCAGGAGGAGAGGGAAAAAAGAAGAGAAAAAAAGAAGAGGAAGAAAAAGAAAAAAAGGAAAAAATAGCGATCACCCCTGGAAAATTGGTCTCGTCCAATTCTCGAAGTTGGGCAACCGATAATCATCGGGATCGGTGTGGAATTGGCGAAATGTGTTGCGACCGTTCTCTATTCTTCACCTTTCTCTCTGAATGGGAAACACGCTCGTCATCCCGAGGAAACGTTTCCTTTCTATCGATGAATCGTCGTCCATCATAGGCAAATATGACAAGCGGGCAGCGCCCCCTACAAAGAAGATCGGGGACCGTGAAAAATCTAGCAGGGCTGACGGTGCAGATTCGGACCTCGCAATCTGGGCCTTGATGCAACAACGCGAATGAACACGATTTCGATAGAAAGAAGTGTGGAACTTTTGCTCAATGGACGGCATCGGTTTGTGGAAATGATGATGGACCGGTATGGGAATCGGTCAAAGTTACGCTCGATTTCTGTGCAACCGAATTTCTCCTCGCTGTTTGGATTATACCAGGATGATCGTTCACGGCTGTAACGAGTTTGGTAAAGATTTTTGACTCGTTATTTTTGGTTTGATTTGTTCGTGAAAATACTAGGATTTGAAGATTTATTTCGCGCTATATCGATGAACTAAAATTTAAAATTTTGTATGTAATTCATTCAATTTTCATAATATAGTATAAGCGTTATTAATTTGTTAGAATTTGTTCTAACGTAAGTAAAAAAGATACGAGAAACAAATCTTCCATCTTGCTCTCCCTATTGCGACGAAACTTATAGAAAAGCTTATAAATACTTGTTCGAATAAATGCTTATATGCGAAAAAAAAAATTTTCGATCTCAGTTTCAAAATAATAAAACGTACGCAAATTGCACGATAAACTTACCTAATAACGATGCAAATAAATCGGATTAAAATCACCCGGCACGAAGGTCCACCCGAAACTTCGTCGGTATCCAAGATTTCGGTCGGATTCACCGAGGAGGAAATTATTTTTTTCCATTTTGCCGGCTATTTTTGCGCCCGAGTGTTGCGCCCGAGGAGTGACTGACCTCTGGCCAGTTTCGCGGTGCCACGTTGATCGCCTATTTTTAAGCCGGCGAAAAATGCATAGTCTCCCTTTCGAAAGAAACACAGCCGAGAAAAGTGTGCGAACACGATGAGGAGCGAGGGAGGGAGGAGGAGAAAGATGGGACAGCGGAGTTGAAAACAGAGAGAGTCGACGAGTCTTCGAGTCGAAAATCCTCGGTGGAAAAATTTATTTCGAAACGGCCACATGTCACGGTCAAGAAAAGCGGTCTCCTCTTTCCCTCCTCCTCTTCCTCCTCCTCCTCCTCCTCCCTCGAATTCTTCAATCCAGAACTTACCCAGAAATCGTTTATTTATTCACCAGTGTGAAATATGTAGCCACGATTGGTGAGGGGCTGCGACGAGACATCGATGACGCGGATTTCACGGGGCAACGAACAAATTTCCTTACGACGATTCAACGTTAACAAACGGCACGATGGAATCTGATTATCACGAAGCGGAGCGACATCGATCTATTTTCGACCGCGTTCCTCGACGTCTGCAGGACGTTTGGCCTGTATCGGTGTGTTGCGAGGACGTGTTGTTATTGAATTGGAGTGGAGCGAGGTTTTTGTTTTGTTTTTCGAGGAATTTCAATTTCGAAGAATCCTTCGTGTTATTGCTTCGCGTTAATTACGTATGGCACGTTTGTTGATATAACATATCATTGTAGTTTCGAATTCGATATTTCGCTTTTCGTAATTTGGAATAAAATAATGCGAAGATAGAATGATGACCGAAGTTACTTCAATCTTTTTGAAGCTGAATTTTTTGGTAGGGACGTGCTCTTTTTTAGCAACTTACCTATGTGTATTTAGATGGCAGGCTCGATGAGTAATATGTTTTATGATCTGAAAAATTTTCTTTTATCTGTTGTAAATTTCTATCGCATTAACATTTAAAAATGAAAATTCTTCGATAAAAGAACTTACCAAATAATTAGTTCCTCTCTCCTATGTGTATTAATTTATATAAAAAAAATTAATAACGATACTAACTTTTTAATAACTAGAGTAAATAAATTAAAATTCGTTAGAAGAAAATTTGCGGAAATTATTGGAAAAATACTTTCGCGATCCTCAAAGTCCTCCTGCCGGATTTCACACAAAGAACAAAGAACGAATCCATCGTCGTTCCAAAAGATAGCAGCGATCTATTTTCGACCACTTCCTTCGCAGCTAGAAGGACACGATTTTCTAACGAACGAAACTCGTTAGGCCTCGAACGATCTCTTTCAAACTGTCGTGGTTTTTCGTCGGAAATCATCGTTCCTGGAATTCATTTCGCACGCATCATAATAAAGGCGAAGTGAAAAGTTAAAAGGGGATTATTGACCGGTTTCGATTTCCGGAAACACTAGAAACAGAAACACTGACCTACCTGTTCGGATGCTTACCGGTGGCTCGCCAATTTAAAAGTAATTTTCTCGAATCCCTCCGAAGAAAAAGAATGGAGCCTCTTCCCACGGTTGGTCAGCTGGCCTGCGTCCAGAAGCGATCCTCCTTTCGTTCGTCTCCCTTTATCATTTCTCCTTTTCCCCCAACTGTGTTTTTTTTACGAATTTCGATTTTTCTACCTGAGCTCCATTCGTCGGGTCATCCGAGTCCCGGCCGCCACTCGCTGGGTCCTTTACAGTTACGCGAGGAGATTCGAGGAGACAGATAAGAGGAAGAAAAAGCTTTATTATTCTCTTCACGGGATACGTAGACGTTAACCCTGATTCTTGGCCGTGACGATCGGTCGTGGACAGTTACGGTTCTGTGGACAATTTTCGAAATTAG